AGCGACACCGGTTCTATGATCAACTGAGTGACCTTTTAAACACCGTGGATGACAAAGATAATGTGACAATGATGAGGGACTTTAACGGCAGAGTGGAAACAAGGAAGACGACGGGGGAGAGATACATGCGGCCACACAGTGACAGGGAAACAGATCAAAACAGCAACTCGTCATATCAAATACCTTCTTCCAACACAAAAGGAGTCAAGTTAAAACTTGGTACAAATGCAATGATCTAAAGATAGCATCACACATTGATTTTATCCTAGCCAAAAGATCAAAACTGAGAAAAATCTGAGACTCAAGAGTGATTCCCATCTACATCACAGACGCTGACCACAGACCAGTCATCATGACAGTCACACCAAACAGGAAAAGGCCAGAAGCAAAGAAACGATGAGAAGTCGTAAATCTCAGAAATATAAATGACAATAACAAGGATAAGATACATGAACGTTTGAAAGATGTATTTCACAAATTTCCGCCAAAATTGGGAGACATGGAAGAGGAATGGAGCCACTTCAAAGCATGTGTGTACAGAGCATTAAAAGAAGAGTTCGGCACCAGGAAAACAAGAGGGCTGAAAAAGAAAACAACTATATGGTGGAATGACCAAGTGAAGTCCAACTGAAGAAAAAAGCATTCAAAAAGTGTTAGAAATCAAAGACGGAGGAAGATTACTTCCTATACAGAAAGGACCGCCGATATACATCAAGGGTAGTAAAAGAAGCTAAGAACAGATTCTGGTCAGTATATGGAGAACAGCAGGTAACAAAAGGTAAAGAAAACCTTTGAGAGTTTTACTAGAGAGTTAAAAAAGCATGAGGGTGCGGGAAGAACCATTCAACCAAACTGAAATAGTCAATGATGAGCACAGAAAACCCTATTTTCAAAAAGCCAAAGATTAAGGAAAGATAGAAACGCCATTTCCAGGAGCTGCTGAATCCCACAGCAGAAACAACAGCAAACAGCTTCTCACCGAAAGAAACCACTCCAGAACCATCACTACTGCAGATTGAAACCCAACATGTTATAAAGAACAGCCTAACAAACAAAGCGATAGGCGTTGAAAACATCACAGCAGAAGAGATCAAACTATACGGCCATATCGGAGAACTCTGGCTATGGATAATATAGTGCAAAGCGCATAGAGCCTGCTGTTGAGCCGGGATATGCGCTATACAAATGCTATCTATTATTATTATTATTTAACCTGGCCTGGGCGACAAAAACAACACCGAGCCTACAGAGGAATATCCCTTCTCAGCCGTGTGGATATAACGTTTGCTAAGATACTGGAAATGAAAATGAGACCAATTGTAGAGACTCAACTCAATGAATCCCAGTTTGGCTTCAGAAAAGGCAAGGGCTGTACTGACGGTTTTTTGCTGTCGGACAGTTGTGTGAGACTGCCATTGGACATGACAAGACCTCAATATCGTCTTCGTGGACCGAGAAAAGGCATTCGACAGGGTAAATAGATGTCAACTTTGGGAAGTCTTAGAGGTTTTAGTAGCGGTTTTACGGCACTTGCAACTGCATAAGATCACATGAGCGCCAAGGGGTGGATGTCAACAGAGAAGTCCTTACAGGGAATCAAACTTACTCTGCTCACCTTTCTAGCTTCTACAGCACAAAGTCTGCTTAGACTATCAAGGCACCTCGGAAACAGCAGGTCACAAGAGTGTGACAAACATACAAAAGAAGTGGAGAAAAATGACGATAGTAAGGATTAAGAAAGAAAAAGGCGCAGTTCCCTGTTGTAGTTGAGGCATAATTATGAGCATGCCATTGTTCGATCAGCCCATTTACAATTCTACTGTGCATTAGAACGTCCCGTTTTGGAATGGCATAAAGACACTTCAGTCAATGGCATAGCCCCAGGGGGTAGTCTTAGAGTAATATGGCGTTAAAGGACAATTGCTCACGAACATCCTGCTTTATAGAATCTTCATACCTACATTAACATACCAGTGCCAAACATGGTCTCTAAACAAGGCATGAGAAAAGAAAATCAATGCACGCGAAATTAGATGTTTCTGCAAAATCACCAACGTCACCAGGGGAGACCACATAAGGTACGAGACCATACGTCTACCAGTAGTAAATTTATTAGAGCGTCAAAGAGTCAAATGGTTCGGACATCTAACCAGAATGCCCCAGAAACAACTAGCGGCTAGAACTTACCACACCCGCGAATCCGGCTAAATCAAGAGGAAGACCAAGAAAGACCTGACTGGATGGGGTTAAAAAGGCCCTGGAACAATATAACTAATTAGCATATCTATCACAGACGCAGAAACCTGCACCTCCCCTCGACATCCCAAGGATACCAGGGGAAGGAAAAAGTAAAATAAAGTAAGGACTGAGGAGCAAAAGTGCTCACTTTGTTGCAACTGGCATCTTTTTTAACGGTTGTTTCATCAGTGGAAAAGAGTAATAGGCTTACACAGCTAATACCTTGAGTCGTGGAAGGATGGCGGCGGTGGCGATTATAAGACAAATAAGACAAGAAGGATACATAATAGAGAAAATGTATAAAGTTGAAGAGCAGGTAAAGTGGGATGGAGAAGACAAGAAAGGTACGGTTATGAAAATAAGAGGGGAGTGGGAACACACGAAACCACACACACACACACACACACACACACACACACACACACACACACACACACACACACACACACACACACACACACACACACCCAGAGAGAGAGAGAGAGAGAGAGAGAGAGCAAGAGAGATAGAGAGAGAGAGAGGGGGGGGGGCGGGGGGCAGGCAGTGGATCCCACAATCCAGTTCATAGCATTTTTCGTTCTTGTTCATACGACAGAAAAGAAAGAAAATCTGGATCGGTACTAACCATAGACCTAAGAAACTTTATCAAGCAAATAATTGCATCAGATACTTTAATAGTCGCCCCAATTTAATTTTTGACTGTGTTAACAATACTGGATCTAGAATCTAGATCTAGGCCCTAGACCTACGCAATGAAAGGCTTTTGGGCAGGGGAAAAAAGAAGGGAGGGGGAGCTCAGTGAAAAGTAAATACTTGGGTCTAAAAAGTCTCGTTTTCTTTATACTATCGAATGAACTAAGGCACAATATGAGATCAGTGATTATAAAACATTATTAAAATTGATTAACTTTTTGAACTTAAGTTAAAAAACCTCTTGGCGATGTATTTCCCTGTCTCGTACATTTCAAACAATGAAGAGAGGGAGCCTAAAGCTCAAGTCGAAAATGCGTGACGTCACGACTCTGCGCAATGTCACAGTGGAATGGTTCAGCTAGGTTTTCGCGGATTTGGTTGATAAAAGGGTAAGACTACACTAGCCAAGGTAAGACTTCTACGATAACCATTTAAACGTTTTCTGGAAGAAAAAAGAATGGTTTACCAACAAGGGTAGTTTGAAAAAAATATGACGAGAAAATTTATCAAAAATCAATGGTTAAAAATTGTCTATTTTTCACTTTGAAATATTTCGAGACTCATTAGTCGCACATCGACCTGGAAAGAAGCGTTTTGAAGGCCATCTACAGGTCTTTAAAGACATGTATCTGACTTGAATGTTGGTCCCCTAAATTAAACAAAAATATGGGCAGTTTGAACC